GGTACAGGATGTTTTCTGTTTCCCACACCCTATTCTCTATTCTGCTCTGTTCCCAAAAGGCTGATCTATATAGACTGCAGGTTCCTTTGCCCTCTGCCTGGGGAGAGAGGGGAAAAGAGAGACCAGTAGGACATCAAAGGGGATGCGGAAATGTGGCTGAATATTTCTAGGTCTTTTATTGGCCTCCACCTGGATTGCTGTTAGTTGGCTGTATCTTCCAACTAAGGTCACAGCTTCTTTGAGGAAGTCCTAGCCATTTAGCTCTTCCCTTCAGTCCCAGTAACTGGTCCCCCTCCCTTGCCTCTTTAGGCTGGGAGGTGGCAACAGTATCACAACATTCCTGTTGGCTTCCCTTTATTAAATGCGTCTTTTGCCGGGTGCGGTGGCTCACGGCCTATAATCCCAGCACTTTGGGATTATAGGCCGAGGCGGGTGAATCACCTGAGGTCAGGAGTTCGAGCCAGCCTGACCAAAATGGTGAAACCCCGTCTCTACTGAAAATACAAAATTTGCTGGGTGTGGTAGCGCATGCCTATAATCCCAGCTACTTGGGAGGCTGAGGCAGGAGAATCACTTGAACCTGGAAGGCAGAGGTTGCAGTGAGCTGAGACAATGCCTCTGAACCCCAGCCTGGTGACAGAGCGAGACTCCATCTCAATAGACAAATAAATAAATAAATGCTTTTTTCCTTTTTATAAATTTAATTTTAAGTTCTGGGATATATGTGCAGAAGGTGCATGTTTGTTACATGGGTATGCATGTGGCATGGGGTGGTTTGCTGCACCTATCAGCCCATCAACTAGGTATTAAGCCCCGCATGCATTAGCTATTTATTCTGATACTCTCCTTTCCCCTACCCCCCATCAGGCCCCAGGGTGTGCTGTTCCCCTCCCTGTGTCCATGTGCTTTCATTGTTTAGTTCCCACCCACTTAATAAGTGAGAAGATGCAGTGTTTGGTTTTCTGTTCTTGTGTTAGTTTGCTGAGAATAATGGCTTCTACCTTCATCCATGTCCCTGCAAAGGACATGAGCCTATTCCTTTTATGGCCGCATAGTATCCCATGGTGTATATGCACCACATTTTCTTTATCCAGTCTATCATTGATGGGCATATGGGTTGATGCCATGTCTTTGCTATTGTGAATAGTGCCGCAATGAACATATGCATGCATGTATCTTTGTAATAGAATGATTTATGTTCCTTTGGGTATATACCCAGTAATGAGATTGCTTGGTCAAATGGTATTTTTGGTTCTAGGTCTTTGAGGAATTGCCACACTGTCTTCCACAATGAACTAATTTACATTCCCACCAACAGTGTAAAAGTGTTCCTATTTCTCCACAGCCTTGCCAGCAGCTGTTGTTTCTTGACTTTTTAATAATTGTCATTCTGACTGGTGTGAGATGGTATCTTTTTGTGGTTTTGATTTGCATTTCTCTAATGATCCGTGATGCTGAGCATTTTTTCGTATTTGTTGGCTGCATAAATGTCATCTTTTGAGAGTGTCTGTTCATGCCCCTTGCCCACTTTTTGATGGAGTTGTGTTTTTTTCTTGTAAATGTATTTAAGTTCCTTGTAGATTCTGGATATTAGACCTTTGTCAGATGGATAGACTGCAAAAATCTCCTCCCCTTCTGTAGGTTGTTTGTTCACTCTGATGATAGTTTCTTTTGCTGTGCAGAAACTCTTTAATTAGATCCCATTTGTCAATGTTTGCTTTTGTTACAATCGCTTTTGATATTTTCATTATGAAATCTTTGCCTGTGCCTATGTCCTGAATGGTATTGCCTAAATTTTCTTTTAGGATTTTTATAGTTTGGGGTTTTACACTTAAGTTTTTAATCCACCTTGAGTTAATTTTTGTATAAGGTATAAGGAAGGGGTCTAGTTTCAATTTTCTGCATATGGCTAGCCAGTTTTCCCAACGCCTTTTATTAAACAGGGAATCCTTTCCCCATTGCTTTTGCCAGGTTTGTCAAAGATCAGATGGTTGTAGATGTGCGGTCTTATTTCTGAGATCTCTATTCTGTTGCATTGGTCCGTGTGTCTGTTTTTGTACCAGTACCATGCTGTTTTGGTAGCCTTGTAGTATAGTTTGAAGTCAGGTAGTGTGATGCCTCCAGCTTTCTTCTTTTTGCTTAGGGTGGTCTTGGCTTTAGAAGCTCTCTTTTTTGGCTCCATATGAATTTTAAAGTAGTTTTTTCTATTTCTGTGAAGAATATCAGTGGCAGTTTAATGGGAATAGCATTGGATCTATAAATTACTTGGGGCAGTATACCCATTTTCACGATACTGATTCTTCCTATCCATGAGGATGGAATGTTTTCCCATTTACTTGTGTCCTCTCGGATTTCCTTGAACAGTGGTTTGTAGTTCTCCTTGAAGAAGTCCTTCACATCCCTTGTTAATTGTTTTCCTAGTTATTTTATTCTCTTTGGAGCAGTTGTGAATGGGAGTTCACTCATGCTTTGGCTCTCAGCTTGTCTATTATTAGTGTATAGGAATGCTTGTGATTTTTGCACATTGATTTTGTATCCTGAGACTTTGCTGAAGTTGCTTATCAGCTTAAGAAACTTTTGGGCTGAGACAGTGTTTTCTAGATACAGGATCATGTCACCTGCAAAGAGACAGTTTGACTTGCTCTCTTCCTATCTGAATACCCTTTCTTTCTTTCTCTTGCCTCGTTTCCCTGGCCAGAACTTCCAATACTGTATTGAATAGGAGTAGTGAGAGAGGCCACACTTGTCTTGTGCCGGTTTTCAAAGGGAATGGTTCTGGCTTTTGCCCATTCAGTATCATATTGACTAGAAGTTGGTATAAATGGTTAATGGTTCTTACTATTTTGAGGTATGTTCCATCGATGACAGTTTTTAACATGATGGGATATTGAATTTTATCGAAGGCCTTTACTGCATCTATTGAGATAATTGTGTGGCTTTTGTCTTTTGTTCTCTTTATGTGATGCATTATAATATATTTATTGATTTGCATATGTTAAACCCGCCTTGCATCCCAGGGATAAAGCCAACTAGATCGTGGAGGATAAACTTTTTTTTTTTGAGGATAAACTTTTTGATGTGCTGCTGGATTCAGTTTGCCAGTATTTTATTGAGGATTTTTACATCAATGTTCGTCAGGGATATTGGCCTGAAATTCTTTTTTTCTTGTTTCTCTGTTAAATGCTTAATTATCCACTGTGAGTGAACAATCTGTCTTCTTCTGGGACACTGATTGATATAATGGATAAATACAACATTGTTCTCTTGGAAAGATTAAAAATTCACACCTGCATATTAAAAGCTCTAGTATTGCAGTAGATAATGTCTAAGTTAGCCCAGTGTTTGCCAAATTTATTCATGAGACCATTTCTCTAATATATCTAAGAATATCCCTTGAAAATATTTGATTATAAAATTCCTTGCCTTAAAAACCACAAAATGGGCCGGGCACGGTGGCTCACGCCTGTAATCCCAGCACTTTGGGAGCCCAAGGCGGGTGGATCATGAGGTCAGGAGATCGAGACCACCCTGGCTAACACGTTGAAACCCCATCTCTACTTTAAAAAAGAAAAAAAACAAAACTTGGCCGAGCACAGTGGCTCACTCCTGTAATTCTAGCACTTTGGGAGGCCAAGGCAGGCAGATCACTTGAGCTTTGGAGTTTGAGACCAGCCTGGGCAACATGGAGTAACCCCTTTTCTACTAAAAATACAAAAATTAGCCAGGTGTGGTGGTGCATGCCTGTAGTCCCAGCTACTCAGGAGGCTGAGGTAGGAGTATCGCTTGAACCCAGGTGGTTGAAGATGCAGAGAGCCAAGATTGTACCGCTGCACTCCAGCCTGGGTGACAAGTGAGACCCTGTCTCAAAAAAAAAAAAAAGTAAATGCAGTACTAACCTAAACACACACACACACAACCAAACTTAATGGTTTATACTCTTGATGACTATTGTCAATCATTGTAAGCATCTAATTGTTCTGTGCCGTGTATGAAATATCGATTTCCTTAAGGTCAATTGAGGTGTATAAGCTTAAAGCTGTTAGTCGTAGTATTGACTTGTTCCAAGTGGCTGTACTTTTTATATTGTTTAGTTTTTATGATCCCAAATTTGTCTGGTATCAGGCTTACAAATGTATCTTAATTGCTACCCACGTGCTTCTCAACTTTAGTGCCTGAATTTCATGACCTCTATTTTGGCTGCCTGGAAACTTTAACCCCTTATGTTCAGCATTTCAGTTATGTAAAATGTTGCTGTGCATGTACTCTTTTAAACCCTGAGGTGGAGGTGATTAATTCTGTGTAGTTCTGGCCTTTCAGCACATGATAGAATTGTATTTCTGAGTTAAGGGACATGTATGATTTCTTAGTCAAGCTTTTAATCACCATGTGAGACGCTCTAAATCCCCTTTTGCCTTCTGTCACAGTTAGGTTTCTCCTAAAAATACTAAATTGGTCAAGTGTGGTGGCGCATGCCTGTAATCCCAGCTACTTGGGAGACTGAAGCAGGAGAATCACTTGAACCCGGGAGGTGGAGGTTGCAGTGAGCTGAGATCAGGCCATTATCTCCAGCCTGGGCAACAAGAATGAAACTCCATCTCAAAACAAAAAAACTCATGCATATTTATTTACATAACTGTGTGGTGTAGTGGACAGGCTCAAACACAGGTTTGAATCCCTGACTTCTACCACTTATTAGCTAGTAGTCCCCTAGCTGGAGGCCCAAATCCCTTACTATAAAATTGGGACACTGTTGGAAGGGAATCGAATTATAAGAATTACCTGAAAATAAAATCATTAATAAATGGTAGCTATCAATTTAAGTATATTAACTGGTTACTGTGGCAATATATAATTATAAAATCACCATCAATCCTTTCATTCATACGTTAACACATATCACTGGTTTAATTCATTGAAGGCAAATACAACTTTTCCCTTACTCTCCTTCCAAGATTCCACTTAGGCTGGTTACCCCAAATGTAATGGAGAAACATTAAGTGTCACTTTTAAACCAGTCTTTAATTTTCAATTCAGGTGTGAGGCACATATATACACACAAACATTAATTTAAGGAAGCAAGAATGTAGAATATAAACATGTACGGCAGACACTACTTCATGTATTTTAAAACTTACTTTGAATTAACTTCATTGTTTACATGTAAAAGAAAAATATTCACTTATACTTCCACTTCCCTTTAAAGTATTCTCAAATTATATTTCTTGAAACTCCAATAGAAAGCATTCTCTCTTAATCATGGCAAGGGGTGGGGTACTCATTGGTGACCAAAATCTAGTGACACCATCTTTCATGTTCTTTGCCATACTCTTAAATGCCTGGCAAACAGTAAATATTTACCAGATGAATATGACATTTAAAAAATAGATTTCAAGAGATTGAGATTCTCTAGCCAAGTTGAGGGACTACATCATTTTGAAGCACTCTAGAAAGAGGATGTGATTAAATGTGACTGCATGCCTGGGCTGGCTGCTTCTAGGTATAGAGCTGTGTTAAGGCGTGGGAATAGGAGAGCAATGCCCTAGGGAAAAGAGGGCACTAGGGGAAACAATGGTTGCAGTGCACTGCAGAATGACCAATGGCACCTACTTCCAGAGTTTTCCTTCAACTAAAAAGAGATGACATTTTCTTATGATTCAGTAACTGCATTACTTACATCAGCAACATTATGGTTTTCATAGATAAGCCTAGGCAACTAGTCTCTATTTACACCATCTCATCCAAACCCAACTAACCAAATTTTAGAACACCATCAGATAGTTTCTTGCATTCAAGACTTCAACTCATAACTCTTTGAACTCGTATTAGATATCAGGAATCTAAGATGTATTATAGGCATTCCTATAATTAGCCATATTTACAAGATACAAAATATTTGGATAAAAAGCAAATTTCATCACATCGTATAATGTACAGATAAGGTTTATAAAGTAAATTAATTTATTTTTAGCACCATATATACAATCCAAACACTGCAAATTAATTTCTTTTCAAACTCAAAAGATATTTTTCATTAATCATGATGGCACATCCTCTCTCTCAATAAACGCAAATGCTGTTTTATGGGCTGTGTGGTAATAGTTTAACATTTAGTAATTGATGATATAAAATTATTTTCTCATCAAGACTAGGCTGTATTTCCTTTTAAAAAAAAAAAAAGCTCAGGTTAAACAGCCAAAAATTTGTGATTATTATCACAAATAATCCAAGATTTAAATAACTAAGGGCCTCCAGAGGCCCCTGTTCTTCCTTTTGCCTGTCTAAAATTCAATGGAATATATTAAGTGTTAAACTGGTATGAAGAGGTGGAACTAAATTCTTTGAAACACAAGGTAGAGTATCACTTTTTACTTAAACTTGGAGTCCTTTACATTTATAACTGCTATTCAAAAAAAATTAGACAAAGACATCTAGATTTAGATTAACATGAACTATCAAAGGGATTGTTTTGGATCATTAAAGGAAACTTAACAGTAAGCCAAATACTAACATTTAAATTAATTTCAAAATCTATAAAGGTATGTAATTATTAATTTGCAAAGGAGAAAACTGAGGCTCAGAAGTTGCACAAAACCATGGAACTAGTAGAACTGAGCTTTAGAAACCAAGGCTGTCCTCCTCTACTATACATTATTTCTCCTCAGTACACAATAATAAATTGGTTCCAAATTATCTAGACCTTTAAAAAGTATATAATGGAAAGTGCTTTTAGTATTAAAACAGTTTTCATGAATGACCCTAACAAATTTTGTCTAAAAGCTTACTAAAATGCTGACATCATTTATAATCCTTCATTTATTTGTAAAAAGATGAGGACACACATTAAGTGAAGTGCAATTCATTTGTTTTCTACAAAATAAGTTAATTTTAAGCAAAACAATCTCAATGATGATAAATGCATGTCATTATTTATTTAGATGTTTCAGCTCTCGCACTAAGTTTTTACAAGCTGGTGAACACTGACAAAATTATTTCTCCCACAGAACTATAACCACACATCCCCAGACAGTATAAATATATGGTTGAACTAACATTAATACACATCACCATTTTATCAATTACATAATAAAACAAATTATCAAGTATCCAAATATTAAGTTACACAGCTCAAAAGGCATATAAAATATTAGATGTCTGCTCAATTCATTAGCAGAAACCCATTTCTTTTTTTGCAAGAGAGGTTGGGAAGGAAAAAAAAAAAATCACACTGTCAAACAAAAATAAGTTGGTAAACACGCTTCTGATAAGTATGGAAAAAAAATTACAAGAATTTCAGGAAGTTTATGATTACAATAACAAAGCATCTCTACCTTTTAAAAAAATATTTTACTAAATTAAAGAGCATATTCTACATGTTCTGCACAAGACAAAGGCAACATTTTGCTAAAAATAATTAATAGCCCCCTCCCATTCTTTTCTCAGGCCCTCCCTGTTAAGTTGCACCTCAGAGTGCAAACATTAAATTAATGTAAGGCTTTTTTGTCTGAAGACATTAAAGACATGTGCTTCTGTACAATGTAGATTTTCAAAATGGAGGTTTTTTTAATAACAGCACAAAGTGAGATTTATAGAAACATATTAAATAATCACTGTAAGACTTGGTAAAAAAAAAAAAAAATCAATGGTTAAGCAAACCTGATGTATACCGGTATGAATGTGGGAGATGTAAACATAAAGTGAGCAGGCAAATAACCATGTAGGCCCTACTTTCAATGTTTGAAATGAGTGAAGGAATAAACCACATAAGGTCTAGAGTGTTCATAGTTCCTGGGATTTTAGTTCTGTATGGTACTAAAAATATACAAGTATTGTGCTGGGTATTTTGGCACCTAATCTTCCTAAATGTCTTATGTATTGATAAGATTCTGGCATGGGAATAGATTTAAATAAGTCATAACTCAATACTCCATGATTTTGGGAAAGGTCAATTGATACAAATGACAAGCACATTTTATACGCTGACAGCAAGAATCTTTTGCCAAGTATCCAAATAGGTTGACTGTAACCCAAATACAGAGGTTGCCAAATCTGTCTAGCTTGTGGCCTGGTAAAACTGCCTTTCAATACTCCTATGGAAGCTTCATTAGACTTACTATGCCAACATGTTGGCTAATACGTATAACAAATTAGACCCTATCTCAAGTTCCACTTCCAATAGCATTAGGCACCCCAATTTTATTGAATGCAACAGTTGTTTCTATGACCGTTGGAATCTTTGAAACGCAGCCGCATTTTAGGACGATACTTCTCCAAATACAAAAGTTGCTTGCTGTTAAAAGCTCCACGCCGCTTTCTGGGAGGGAGAAAAAAAAAAAAAAATGAAAGAAGGCAAAAGCCCCCTACAGTAATATTTAGTGTCTTATGGACAACCATCACCTTTCTTGTGGCAATTTATCTTTTGATTAATTAGGCTGTGACCTGATGCAGAAATGAATATGAACAGGCACATCAGTGCAAATGGAAAAAATCATAAAAAGTTAATTTTCCATATATCTTCTTTTGAGTATTAGTTATAATAGTCGACTCACAAATCCATTTATATGTAAGTCCAAGAAAAGACAAAACTAATTTATAGTGAAGTCAGAAGTTGCCTCTGGTAGCAGTGAAGATGACTACAAAAGCCACAAAAGCATATTCTAGAGCACTCAAAATATTCTGTGTTGTATTGGATGGTTAATTTGACTGTTATTGTCAACTGGTCTCCTTTAGAGACCTGTGCATTTTATTGTCTCTTTAATTATATCTTAATTATACCTCAATAAAAATACAAAATAACAACCAACATATTCAATCAAGTATTTAAAGCAAAACAATAATTCAAAAACTCTTGTTGGATTAGAATCTTAATAATATGAGCATCTGCATGAAATGCAAAAAAGAATGTAGTATCTTGATTTCCTGGTTTTAATACTATCTCAAAAAAAATCATGATTTGATGGGCTATTACTCACTGACATTCAATAAGGAAATGAAAAGAGAATCCATTACTTACTGTCTTATGAATTGTACTGCATCTTCGTATTTCATTCCACCTTCAATTAATGCTAGGGCAACAAGCACTGGAGCTCTGGTAAGGCAAGAATTTTGATAAATACTTTTTTCAAATTCAAATCTTCATAAATTTATTTCTCCAAACACTCCCCAACTCAGAAGTATCATTATCTACCACCCTTCCTGTTCAAGTAATACCTATGACAAACGTTGACTTTATATTTAAAAAATTATAAGGATGTTTCAAGTTTCTGTATTTTCATTATCAACCCAGACTTTTACCTAGAATCAAATTGATAAATTCATTTACCTCCCAAGGCCTGCAACGCAATGAACAGCAATACAACAACCAGGTTCTTCACGAAACTTAATTTTTACAAGACTTAACCAGTCATCAACAATCTGGTTGGATGGTGGTGCGCCATCATCAAAAGGCCAATCCTAAGTCAAAAGAATATTTAAATATTAAAAATTAAATATCTAAAATAGATCATTAATATAAACACTGTAGTAATAATTCTAAATTTCTAACATGCAAATGTTTTCAAAAGCATTCTCATTTTAATGTTTAATCACATCTTACTAAACCTTGTTGTCTACCAAATGTGACTAAATGCTCAATCTTTACAAAAATGTTTCACAACTTCAAATCCTTGCTTACTTTTCACCTTTATTTAGAAACTACGATTCTGCACAACAATATAATTTTTTAAATAGCTTTTTGAGGTCTATTTATGACTTAAATAGGTATTTGAATTTACTATTTGAATAAACTTTTGTAGCATAGCACCATAAAAACATAGGAACTGTTAAATACTTACAAGAACATGGATACCTTCTTTCTCCACAAGAGTAGTGTCGTAAGTTGCTTCACACACTCTTACTATTGTGGTAACTCCATACTTCTTAAGTTCCTGGATAAAACATACATTAAAATAATCTTAATGTTTAACCACATCACCATTACTCAACATTTTATATTCTGATCATCTCTGATCAGTAAGTATGCTGGTTAACAGAAAATCATTTAAATAATGAGATAATCTATTTATGTTTAACACAAAAGCAAATCTTGTTTTAAATGACAATGCTAGAATGTAAAAAGAAAAGTTCTAAATACCATTCATATTTTTAATAAACTGGAGAAGTTTTCTTTCTTTTTATAAAACGGTGTACCCCCTTCATACATTGAAGTTGTTTATAGTTATGGTAATACCAGATTGGGATGAAACATTAACTAAAAGGGGCTAGCAGCAATGCAGACAAAGGTAAATATAACTAAAGGCATTATTTATAACTAATTGAGTAATCTGACTTGACTCAATTATACTCACTCCTTAAACTTTACTCATTTGAAATACATAGAATGAAGTCTTAAATACAGGAAAAAAGCCCACATACCATTTAAAACTACAGGCTTCAAAATGCATTATTACTAATTATAACTCTCCTGACATTACACACACACACACGTATATATATAGTAACAAAATTATATATATATACATAAATAAAATATATGGTAATAAAAATTAAAGTACCATTAAAGTATTTCCCAGCCAGGCGTGGGGGCTCACACCTATAACAGCACTTTGGGAAGCCCAAGCAGGAGGATCACCTGAGGTCAGGAGTTTGAGACCAGCCTGGCCAACATGGTGAAACTCCGTCTAAAAATACAAAACTTAGCTGGGCAAAGTGGCGCATGCCTGTAGTCGCCCCCACCCCCCCACCAGCTACTCAGGAGGCTGAGGCAGGAGAATTGCTTAAACCCGGGAGGCAGAGGTTGCAGTGAGCCAAGATCACGCCACTGCACTGCAGCCTGAGTGACAGAACGAAACTCCGTCTCAAAAAAAAAAAAAGTATTTCCATATGTTCTGAGAGGCCTATTTGCTGTTTCTTAACAACTGTAGGTATTTATAAAGTAAAACGTGTGCACATCCTGATATATTATTCAGCATTCAATTCCTTTCTCCTAGTAAAGAGGCAGGTAGAGTTTTGGCTACATAGCTACCATTAGGAAGGAACAGAATTTGTAGTTGAGGGATTCTAAGCATCAAACGGGGTCCAAGACCAACCAACTTTGGTTTATGGCATTAGTCATTAAGTTAAGCAGATATATAAAAAATCCATAAATGGCAACCTTTCCCATGCAAATTTCTTGCAAGATAAGTAAGAGTTATACTGTTTTACTGTCCACATATCAATTTCAGCAAACTCAGGTGCAAGAATTATTAACTCAAGCACATGCCCTTCTCAAAATGTATAAATATACCTCTAACCTATAGAAGACATTGACATTTATTTCTGGGAACTGGAATTGTAGGTATACCATCTCATATTTTCCAAAGTACTATTTATATTGTTAGCTATAAGCTCCACTATTATATTGCAATCAATTTAAGCTACTAAAACATATCAAATCTTACCTCTATAAATTTGTTTAAGGTCGCATTGGTTGGATTGTGTGTAATAAGAAATCTCATGTTCTTGTATGTGACTTCCACAGGAGCTGGGCGGTTCATTCGAGCCATGTTAATTTAGTTAAAAAACACTCAATAGGGTTATGAAATAATTAAAAAAAAAATCGAATACAGAAATGATGCAAAGAAACTGAAGTCTACTTCAATATACTCCACTTGAAATTCTCAGTGCTTGAGTATGAAGTTGTAAGTAATGATAAATGAAATGAACCTCCTAACAAGAAGCAGCAATTCTTCAATCCAGTAATACTGAGGCCAACAGAAAAGAAGTGCACTGAGGTTTACCCCATCCAGGTCAGAACTCTTGTAAAATGCTCTGTGGATTTCAATTCAACACTTCTATGTCCAGGATAACCACTCTTATGGGGGCTTCTTGGTGGAGTAGTAATCAGTTTCTACAGTTCACTTGTCTGCATAGAGGTCGTGCTGTGCCTGGCAGTAATCTCCACTGCCCTTCAGAAACTCCATAAATGTGTGACCAAGAACACCACAGAATTGCTGTTTAAAACAAAAAGACAGAAAGAAAGACAGAATAAGTTATTTTCCAATTCAAAAGAAATATATTAGGGTTTTACACTATTTAAGTACACAACTATCTAAAGCAGGGCCTGAGCCACTTCATCAACTTTTACTTGAATCGCAAAATTCAAGGGGTGAGTACAGATTAAATCAATCAGCATAAAACAAGCAGTCAGATAGATTAAACTGAAATCCATGATCTATTACTAAGATTCCTCAGAAAAGAAAAAAAAGCCCATTGTTACATTTTTGTGAAATTCATATACATACTCTCATATATACATATTCATATATATTCTATCTATATAGTTATATTCTTTCTCTATATCTATATATAACATATAATTATGATTCTATTAATTATTCCTTTTGATAGTTGTTTACTTTGTAATTACATACATAACTTTGTTTTTTCCAACTAACGAAAACATTTTTACACATTAATACAAACTCCAGATAACTCTGAAGTTATTAGTCTTGCATAATTTACTTAACTCATAAACTGAAACATCTTAAGTTCCTTTCCAACTTTATGCTTTTATATCCTTTTCTTAGACTGATTTAAGTGTGTCTATATTTAGAATCTCATTTTATCCTTAACAATCTGTTATCATTCCCATTAAACTGAAGACGAGGAAAATGAGTCTCTGAAAATCAACTTGTTATATGAAATATAAGAATGTATGCTTATGAATTTAAAAAGGAAGGAACTCTCATTTATAACTATAAAGAAAATATTCATAATTTTAATAGTGTTCTTTTTTTTTTTTTTTGAGACGGAGTCTCACTCTGTCGCCCAAGCTGGAGTGCAGTGGCCGGATCTCAGCTCACTGCAAGCTCCGCCTCCCGGGTTCAAGCCATTCTCCTGCCTCAGCCTCCCGAGTAGCTGGGACTACAGGCGCCCGCCACCTCGCCCGGCTAGTTTTTTGCATTTTTTAGTAGAGACGGGGTTTCACTGTGTTAGCCAGGATGGTCTCGATCTCCTGACCTCGTGATCCGCCTGTCTCGGCCTCCCAAAGTGCTGGGATTACAGGCTTGAGCCACCGCGCCCGGCCAATAGTGTTCTTTTGTATTTTAAAACCAAAATGTCACATATACAACTCAAAACTGAAATCCAACTCAGAGAAGGGGGACAAAGGGATGTTGAAGGTGGAAGTGGTAGGTCTCAAAGTAAAGTAACTATTGTAACCAATAAATATAAACAAATATGAATGTATTTATATTTTCTCTAAGTTCCCCCTTAAGAACTAAATCATTTTATGCCAATATCAAACATTAAACCCATAGTCACAGGATACTTTTAAAATATGTACATGGAAGACACTGATGTTAATAATTAGTCTTCTTCCAAATAGTTTATAAAGTACCCGTGTACTTGGGAGTAAAGAGGGCTCTAAGGAAAGTATTAATAACAGGTTAACAAGAGCAGTAATTCATAGCCACTTCCTAAAGCACTTCATGTATACTCTCATCACCAAAAAAGTTTTAACAAAAGGTTCCATTAGTTTCTACGCTTAAATGTAAGCATTTGAAGTCTTAAAATTCAAACGATCTGCTCCCATTTCCATTTTACACCTTTAAATAGTCCCATGCTAGTTATAGTTTCTAGAACTTTGCTAAATTTTAAGAATAATTCTTATGATTACTGCAGAAAACATCAAGTCAAAAACCCAGTCTACTTTTCTGGTAAAACACAGAAATAGCATTAACGGTCATTTATCAAAAGGTCCCATAAGAAAGGTAACTTTCATTATCACAAGTTTATTCAAACAAGCCCTCAGAGGTTACTCCCCCTACTTGGTCAGCTGGGTTAAAAAATTAAGTGTTTAAATTACAAAGACATCACAGTTACAGTGAATAGAGACTGTAGCAATCTGAAAGTAATTTCATTATACTTTCACCCCAAGTTCTAAATACTATCTCTGTAGAATAAAGTGTATTCTGACACTTTCCCAATGACATACAATGATCTTTAAAAGCTTTATAATGACTTAACACAGTATTCTAATTTCCAGGTATTACTTTTCAATTAAAAGCTGATTTGAGACAGTATTTCACACCACTATTTCCCTATTTAACAGCTAAAACTCCTGTTGGCTACAACCTAGTCGGGCCATATCCCTTCATGTAAGTAAGCACTTTGATCAGGAAGCAGAGAAAGCACTATATTAAGAATTCCTTTCCTGAACTGGTTATTTTTACTGAGTGGAGCCACCTAGTGGCTGGGGGGACTCGTCTGTTAAAGCAGTGGTGACGACCCATAGCTTTCTGTTCCGCCCAACGCACTCCTCCATTCCCAATATCCTACCCACAGGAAAAACTATCCATGATGGGGATTTTTTCCCTCCCACATATCAGTTGCATTATAATCACAATCGTATACAAGAGGGGAGAGGAGGAAAGAGCAATCTCTGTGCAGAAGCTTAAGTCACTATTATACTGCAGAGTCAAGCCAATTAATGTGTATAACTCTTTTGCCAAATAATTCCTTGAATAGTCTGTTCCACATCTACTTAGGTCTTAGGGCACCTAAGAAAGCATGCGTAAAATGCTGCTCACTCTTGGGAATGATCTAGTTTTCAACTGACTAACAGGAAGCACCGCCTCAGGATCTGGATGTCGAGCAGGTCAACGGTTCCAATCGTAGTGCAAATCACTTAATACTCATGGACTGGTAGGGGGCTCCGCGGCCAGAAGATAAAAAACTCTCAGAATTCTGGCTGTGGTTGGCTACTGCTGCCACAAACCAACAGGAGGCAACAACATATTACACCACAGAGTTCAGGAACAGTTCTAAACAGTCCCCGATTAAAAGGCGCCATCCAGGGCCCTTCCAAAATTGGCAGGGGAAACGTATGCTGGTGCCCGGACGGGAAGTCCTTCGCGTCAGTGTAACTAACAGTAGCCCTGTCAGTTTCCAAGACGCTCCGACCCAGGCCATTTCTCCACGACTGGCCCAGAGAAAGGACAAGACTAGACTTGTTCCCATTATCACGAGCCCGAGGTGGGGCGATAAATCCGGAACAGCTCGAATTACCAGGTGGAGCCTGGGAGGAGGGCGGGGCGGAGGGCCGAAGTTCTCACCTAGCAGAACCCCTCTCTGGCCCGGGCAGGGGTGCAACTCGCGGAATGCCCCCGAGGGCCGCCGCCCCGCGCACGCGGCTGTGTGCGCCCGAGCACGCCCGCTGCGCCCCCTCTCTGCGCCGCAATCACGGGTTCGCGCCGCGCCTTCAGTCAGGCGCGGGCGCCGAGGCCATTTTGTCTGAGGCTCGGGTCCCGGCCGTCGAGCACAGGAGTGTAGCTGCACCCAGTGGCTGTCCCGCGCCCACCCCGGAGCTCCGAGAAGCTCTGGGACCAGATCGTTACCACCCGTGCCAGGCTGTCCCGCCTACCCCACGCCCGCCCGGATCTGGAGGCGAACCCGCCACCGCCGCGCCCTCCCCGTATCCGGCTCCGCAGTGACACGCGCAACCCTCGCCCCACCCCGGGCCACGTCTCCCGCTCCCAGTACAGCCACTCTCCTCCGGCCGAACAAAGAGGCCCCGGGACGCCGCGGAGCCTGCCATGCCCGGACGGGTCGCGCCAGACCAAAGGGCCAAGGGCGGAGGCGGCGGTCACAAAGCGGCTTTTGTGCCACCCACCCGACCCGCTGCGGAAGCCGAAATTACCCCCGGCCGCCGCGCAAGCCGGACCGCGCCGCCCCCGTCGCCCCGGGCTCGGGAGGGACTCAAAAGCCTGTGCCTCCGGCGGTCAACCGCCACCCTGCAGCCCCGAGGGGCCCGGCGTCTGCCTCCGCACAGCCGGCCGCAATCGGCCGGCCACAGGGCCGTAACCAGCCCGCTCCCACCCGGGACCCACCGGAACTGCAACCCGGGGCAACCTGGAGGAGACGCCGGGCTCCAAACAAAGGCGACAGCAGGGATGGGGGGCCGGTCGTGGATTCCCAACCCGAGAGGCGACGATGCGACGGCTACTCACAGGAATATGTTTACTCATTGAAGATTGTGGCCTAATCATACAGCCGGTCCCGAGACGGCGGCGACACAGGCGGTGGTGGCGGCTGCAGGGCAGGAGGCGGCGGTGGTCGTGGCGGAGCGGCGGTGGCGGCGATGCAGGCGGCGGCGGGGGCACCAGACTCTACCATGCAGTGAGCGGCTCGGAGCAGAGCGCGTAGCCGAGCCGGCCCGCAGCCGAAGGAGCCAATACACGCGCCGAGGCGCCCTTGCGTCACAAGCCCTCCCCTTTATAACCGGTGCGACGTGCAACCCTCCAGCCACCAATCGCGGCCTGGAACCACGGGCCGGGAGACCACAGGCGGGGGCGGAGACCCGCCCCCCGCGGACGTCACTCCGCGGCGGCCGCCGCCGGTGTGAACCGGTTGATGAATGGCTAAGCGCCGAACCGGAGCATCCCCCGGGCGGGGGAGGGAAGGGGCTGCCGGGAGGACTCCGGGATGCAGGAAGCCTGAGGTTAAGAATGGGTGGGAGCGAGAGAGATTCCGATCTATCGACTGGAAGGACTTCTGCTGCAAACCACGTTTCTCATAATTAAAACCATCCAGGAGTGCACACATGTCACATGAGGAGACTCGAAGTTTGCCTGAATTGTAAAATGCAATCCCTCTAGGGCTGGAACCGCGTCTCAGTGTCGACCCTATTTTCTACTGCCTTAACCACGGTCATCTTTGCCAGTGGTTTACCTTGGCACCTGGGCCCCGAGTACATTCGTCATCAAATAATATTTATGTCGCACGACCGCTGTACCCGGTGACTCAACACCTTGCATGCCACGGCCTTAGGCTTGGTCAAGATGAATTCTTGTCCCTGGGGGCGCTTTCAAGCGGGGAGAAACTTACCTTCGCAAAACTTAATGCTATAGAAGATGGGGAGAGTATCTTTTGATGCAGACGAAGCCCTGTGCTCCCTATATTCTTTTTCTGATCATGCCTCTATACTACGTACGCGTGCAACTGCAGTTGGCTCAATTGTGGCATTTCGAAATCACATGCATCCTTTGTACTGCTGCTCACTTGATATGTTGTCTCAGATAATGAAAGGTTAGGAAGTGCTTAAAGAAAGTGTTTTGAGAAATTAAGAATCTTCGGCTTTGTCAAACACTGATGTAATTCTTTGCGTCAAAGCTAAAGCTCTTCTTTATGTTCGTTTTTTTATGTTCGTTTTCAGTCCTCTTTTACTGACTTCATTATTTAAGCCCCTAAGAAGTAAAGTCTTATCGCAGTTCTGTGCCATACAAGGGCAACTCTGTTACTTATAATCTGAAAACCCTTTCTCCTCAGCTCTGGGGAAGGAGTAAACAGGATCTTTACCTGCTTTTGAAGAACTCAGTTTTCCACTAACACTGAAGCCTTTTGTTTGTTATTTTCACTGAGTATGAGATTGGAGAGGTCTTTAGGGATCAAATTTTGTCCTCTCTCAGTGCGCTGCAGCATCCTAGGATTTATTTAGAGACTCTAGTTGTATAGTTACTCAACTTTCTTAACACTGTAAGTAAAATAAAAACTTTCAAAAAACAAAAACAAAATCCTGGGCCAGACTTTCAAAGGAACAAAAACTAATCGTCATTTTGAAGAAAATGACTCACCTAGGACACATTTTAATCCATTAAAATCAAGGGAAACTAGCACACTTGAGAAATATGTCCCTTTACAAATAAATGATTTAAAAAAGTAAAGACTCTAGAATCTTAAATTCTAAAAAAATATAGAAAGCTTAAAAAAAATCTTGGGTGGTACGGGCAAAGCTAAGCAGGCTGGGGAATTCAAAGTCAAAAAGGGACAGATTTCATCATATATAAGAACTTAAAACTTTTATATGGCAAAAGGCTTTTGAGAAATGTTAATTTCACACTGGGAGAAAATATTGGTGATACTTCATGGGTAGGGTTAGTATAAAAAGCTTGGCCAATGTATATAATAGTGTAGTTAAAAAGCACATATTCAATCAGCCACTCTTACTCCAAAAGTTGGCAAACACACATAATTGGAATAGTGAAACTTTTTCATGTAATGGCGTTTCAAAAAATACGTTTGGTGGGACAAGATATAAACTCAGCAAATGATTAACAGAGCCAAATCTGTGTTAGCCAATTTTCTTGTAGAACTTGTGATACAAGTTGTGAGCCTTGTGATCCACAGATCCTGTAATTACCACAAGCAGTGCTGACATGAAGTATCCAGTCAGCTATGCTCATCAAGTTCTAAAAGCTCTCAAATTCTCAAGTGGCCTGGGGGTCTTAGCCTCTCAGACAAGGTACCATCTTATTCTACGATGGAAGTAATATATTTAAAGGATGAAAAAATAAGGCTTTTGCTGTTGAGAGAAATGATGCACTTTATTTTATTTTATGTATTTATTTGAGATGGAGTCTTGCTCTGTTGCCCAGGTTGGAGTGCAGTGTCACGATCTTGGCTCACTGCAACCTCAGCCTCCTGGGTTCCAGCGATTCTCCTGCCTCAGCCTCCCAAGTAGCTGGGATTACAGCCACCTGCCACCACACCTGGCTAATTTGTTTGTACTTTTAGAAAACCACATGTTGACTAGGTTGGTTTTGAACTCCTGACCTCAAGAGATCCGCCTGCCTCAGCCTCCCAAAGGAAAGGACACATTTTAAACAAGACGTAAGTGTGGTCTTACTGACCAGTCCATTAAATGTTCCTGCTTCTTTGTCAGCTGCCATTGTTGTTCACTGCTATGCTGAGGGTGTCTGCTGTATTGAGTTTAATACTTTTAAGCTGCAGATTCTTGGAGAACAGTAGAACATCCCAACATTGGTCAGGAGACTCCTGTGATTTGAGGACTCACTAACCCTTATAGACTTGCACTCAGAGCATTAGCACCTGTACTTTTTTAAAGTGGGTCTCTAACAAACTTGAAAATAGTGCTTTCAGACATCAAAAAGTGAGAAAACACCTCTAAAAGTCAGTGCTTACTCTGAGCTCCAGGAGAAGCTCTAATATAGAGGATTTTCCCTCCTGCTAAACAAGATTCTCGGCTGGAAGTTACTTCTCTCAGCAAAACATGTGTCCTTGACCTCATCACGATAGGCAGGACTTTCTACTGACAATTCAAAACATAAGAGCCAACAGTTGGGAAATAAGACTAGAAGAATATTATAAGGAGGTTGAGCGTAGTGGCATACAGGCTCATGCCTGCAATCCCAGTACTTTGGGAGAACAAGGTGGGTGGATCACTTGAGGTTAGGAGTTCAAGACCAACCTGGTCAATATGGTGAAATCCCATCTCTACTAAAAATACAAAAAATTAGCTGGGCATGGTGGCAGGTACCTCTAATCCCAGTTACTTGGGAGGCTGAGGAAGGAGACTCACTGGAGGGCCGGGAGGCAGAGACTGCATTGAGCTGAGATCGTGGCACTGCACTCCAGACTGGGAGACAGAGTGAGACTTCATTTCAAAAAAAGAATATTATAAGGAATGTTTTTATGGAAGAAGAAAGACTGCAGAAGGCAAGAGTGCAGAGGAAGACTGGCAAATCTTGATGAAGAAGAACAGAGAAATCTTTGCCAGAACAGCAGATCTAGTAAACATTGATTCCATTTATACCAAGTTTACAAAAGGAGTGAAGGATTCCTTGATTTTCAGTCTTCTCAGATTGGTTGGGGCTACAAGGAAGTCTGATAAAAACATTTAATATAGCAAGAGTAATATCATTGCAATGATAGATTAAATGGGACAATACCAACCTAGAAAAAGACACTAGATTGCAAGATATAATGACAGTCTAGCAAATATACTTAGTAGAGGCAAATACCCCAATGGGCCATAATCTAGTAAGTGTCTGGATACTGGTGCGGAGGGTAAGTTCCCATACCCATATTTAACAAGAGTCCTAAAAATTCAAGTATGCCATGGCTACTGTCAGCATTGTTAAAGTTTATTTCCCTCTTGCTGTTTTAGAGCAGTCTATTTTATATCCAATTAATTTTCTTATATGATTATTAAAATAAATATGTAGTATACAGGCATGCCTTCATTTATTGTGCTTTGCAAATACTGTTTTTTTTTTTTTTAACAAAATGATGGTTTGTGACAGCTTTTTGTCAAGTCCATCAGAGCCATTTTTCCAATAACATGTACTCATTTCATGTCTCTGTGTTACATCTTGGTAATTCTCCCAATATTTCAAACTTTTAAATTATTATTACATCTGTTATGTCAACTTGTGAACAGTGATCTTTGATGTTACTATTGGAATTGTTTTGGGCCACCACAAACTGTACCCATTTAAGATGGCAAACTTATTTGATAAATGTATATATTCTGACTGCTCCGCTGATCGGCCAGTCCCTCAGCAAGACATGACAATACTGAAATTAGGCCAATTAATAACCCTACAAAGGCCTCTAAGTGTTCAAGTGAAAGGAAGAGTCCTTCATCTCTCACTTTAAATCAAAGCTAAAAATGATTAAGCTGAGTAAGGCAAGTTGAAAGCAGAGATAGGCTGAAAACTAGGCCTCATACCCAAAACAGTCAAGTTGTGAATGCCAAGGAAAAGCTCTTGAAGGAAATTAAAAGTGCTACTCCAGTGAACACAGGAATGATAAGAAAGTGAAACAGTCTCATTGTTGATAAGGAGAAAGTTTTAGAGTTCAGCATTCTCTGAAGTCAAAGCCTAATCCAGAGCAAGGCCTTAACTCTCCTCATTTTTATGAAGGCTGAGAGAGGTTAGGAAGTTGTAGAAGAAAAGTTTGAAGATAGCAGAGGTGGGTTCATGAGGTTTAAAAGTAGAAGCCCTCTCCCTAACATAAAAATGAAAGGTGAAGCAGTAAGTGCTGATGGAGAAGTTGCAGCAAGTTATTGAGAAGATTTAGCCAAGAACATTGATGAAGGTGGCTACACTAATTAACAGATCTTCAATGTAGACAAAACAGTCTTACATTGGAAGAAGATGCTATCCAGGACTTTCATAGCTATAGAAGTCAATGCTTGGCTTCAAAGCTTTGGAGGACAGGCAATTCTCTTGTTAGGGGCTGATGTGGCTGGTAACTTTAAGTTGAAGCAGATGCTCATTTACCATACTGAAAATCCTAGGACCCTTAAAAATTATGCTAAATCTACTCTGCTGTGCTCTATAAATGGAAGAACAAAATCTGGTTGACAGCACATCTGTTTAGCGTGGCTCACTAAATATTTTAAGTCCACTGTTGAGACCTACTGATAAAACATGATTTATTTAAAAATACTATTGCTTGTTGACAATGCACATGGTCATTGAAGGGCTCTGATTGAGATGTACGAGGAGATTAATGTTGTTTTCATGCCTGCTAACACAGCATCCATTTTGCAACCCATAGATCAAGGATTAATTTTGACTTTCAGGGTTTAATATTTAAGTATATTTCATAAGGTTATAAGTTGCCATAGATGGTGATTCCACTGATGTATCTAAGTAAAGTAAACCAAAAACATTCTGGAAAGGATTCTAGATGCCATTAAGAACATTCATGAGAGGAGGTAAAAATATCAGCATGAACAGGAGTTTGAAAGAAGTTAACTCCAACTCTCATGGATGACCTTGAGGGGGTTCAAGACTTCAGTGGAGGAAATCACTACAGATATGGTGGAAATAGCAAGATAATTTGAGTTAGAAACAGAGTCTGAAGAGGTGACTAAATTGCTGCAATCTTATGATCAAACTTGAATGAATGAGGAGTTGCTTCTTATGAAGGAGAAAAGAGAGTGGTTTCTTGAGATAGAATCTACCACTGGTGAAGATGCCGTGAGCATCGTTGAAATGATAAAGAATTTATAATATCACATAAACTTAGCTGATAAAGCAGTGGGCGAGTTTTAAGAGGACTGACTACAACTTTGAAAGGTGTTCTCTTGTGTGTAAAATACTGTCAAACAGCACTGCCTGCTACAGATAAATTTTTTGTGAAGAGTCATCAATGCAGCAAACTCCAGTGTCTTATTTTAAGAAATTGCCACAGCCACCTTAACCTTCAGCAACTACCTCCCTGATCAGTCAGCTGCCATCATCATTGAGGCAGGATTCTCCAACAGCAAAGATTGT